ATATATATATATATATATATATATATATATGCAAATATGTATACAGAGAGAGAGGTGTTTTCGATAGCGCTGTATAAATAATGTACCATTTTAATATTATTTAATATGCTATTTTAATAGCTGCGCTGCAGGCATGTAACAGTAAAGCATAGCTAATTTGGTCAGTTTAGAGTTTCTTAAGTTAAGTTAAGAGCACATTCCGTTGCAATTCAGAAAAGGGGCACAAAATATAACATTCATATTTTTTTAATTTGAAAAGAAGCGCAAAAAAGTACTTCATTATGTATCCATCTTATCAAATCAGTCTATAGTATATTTATCCCATCAAATTAAACCTTAGTATTATATTAGCAACCTCTCAGCAACCTCTAAAATGCAATAGTTAAAACTAAAATGCATGCTAAATTTGAAATTTTAAACTTATTTTGTTTTCTCTTCAAGAATAACTTAGTTTTCAGAAATGTCACAAATTCATCATTCATTTTTCACAAATCAACTCTTAAAAATTTTAAGAATTATTTTTAAAAAAAGAAGTGAAAACACTTCTGTATTCGAAGTAAGAATACTGAAATGACAAACATTGAATCTGGCTTGCGTATCAATGCATAAAATAACTTATAATTAAAAGAAGCCTCCCACACACAAGTCTGAAAAAATTTTAAATTCAGACTTACAAGATTTGCTTTTATATTTTTTTTTACAGTTCGAATTAAGCTGAGAAAAAAGTCTAGTTTTATTTAATAAACTTATAATTTTTTCAATTATTCAAACCTTGTTTAACATATTATTCTGTTTTCACAGGCAAACTCTCAAAACTTCGAAGATTAATTCTTTCAAAATAGTTAAAACTCCCTTCTGCACCCAAATTCAGAATACTGAAAAGCATTAAATCTAGCTTCCTTGTCGCTGCACAAAATAACTTGTAAATAAAAGACGCATCACTCCCGTAAGGTGGAATCTGTTTTAAATCCAGACATACGAGATGCGACGCACCGTAAGATGGTCTTTGCATTCTAATAAAACCTCCTGCCACCACAATTACACTTCCCTCAGTTGACTTCATGCAAATAAAGAGCCCCTCCTGGATCCCCCCCCCCTGCCGGATCCGGCCATTCATTAAGGCTCCGTCTTAACGCTAAAATGAGCCAGGAAGACTCCGTTGCATTAGGATCTCTAGAAGCGAAATATCCGGGACATGCTATGGATGAGAGAATGTAAGCTTGTGAAAGGGCTCTTTCTGTGTATCAGAATTTTGGGACAGATGCAGATTAAATTCAGAGGATAGGGCTGGAGCTTTTGGGGAGCAGACAGGCAAGGTATAACTGTCAGGAGGAGCGTTTAACGCGTCGTTGCTTTGAAAGAACACGTCGGCCAATTGGTTGTGACACTCGATACTGCAGGCTGCATGTGTTCATACAGATATAAGAACACCTAGTCCAAACGAGATTTGGCGCTCGTTTTAATTCAATTTTGAATTTAAATCCCAGTGCGCATGTTCTATTCTCGATTACTCTTTTGAAATAAATTTCCGAATTTTCGTGAACTCTTGAGATTGGATTCAAAGCAGTGAATTTGATTGGTATAAAATTTATTGGAATTTTTAATCAACAATTGTTTAGAAATTTTACATAGTGTTCTGTATTATTAATTTGGTTTTAAAACGATTAAAAACGAATGCATATCATTTTCACTAATTAAAATTCTTCTAATTCTTGAAGTAAATTTAGACACTTAAATAGTAAATATTTGCAATTTTTAGAGAAAAAAGAACTTATTACTTTTATTAGTCCGGATTTTTTAAAAAATATATTTTTGTAAGTTCTTTCTAGTTTTTCAACAAAAAAACGAAAAAAATAAAAAACCATTCAGCATTAAGAAGTTTTTTTTTAAAAAAAAAATAAAAACAGACATAGTTACTGAATATTTTATCCTTAGTAATTTGAAAGTTTTCCAACATGTTTTACTTCCCACAAAATAGCTTTTGTTTGAAATTTAAATTACACAATTTAATTGAGTTAGAAAATCAAAATGCTGTAATAGGTTAAATTCATGGTAGTGTAGAATTGAAAAAAGCAAATGATTCGAGATAATACTCTTTAAAAGTGTTGTATTCATTTTTGTCAGAAGCTCTAGAAAAAAAATGAAATCGTTGCACTTTATAAAACATGCTTTTATTAAAAAGACTAGTTGGCATTGTCACCATACATTTCCAACTAAATATAATCCTTTTAAAGTAATTGTGCATATACTCTTATTCATAATAAAACATCCTTTTATAATACAATATAAAAGCTAGAGAAAATATTGAAACAAAAATATTTTATGTAGCATAATTATAACATTAATATACTGTTTGAATTCCTAATTATGTCATTATTTTAGACATTCTATATTTTAGAAAAGTGGCATTGTTTAAGTTCACGATTCTCAGCTCACAGTCGTAAATGCTCTTTAATGTTACTACAAGTAAGTTTATTGTAAGACTACGAGTGACAGATTAGAACTTGGCAGTATATATTTTTATGCATATTTTTATTAAATACTAAAATTAACACGTCACCTTTTAATCTAAAAATGAACATATAACTTGGTTTAATATAACTTGGATTGTTTAAATAAATAGAGTAATGACGTTTTTTACATTAATCAAGAAAACTAGAGTTATTAACTAATTTTTAATCATATAATACTATAGCCAGTTAAAAATCTTTAAATTTTGCGAAATGTTTTATTCCTGGCTTAAAATTTCACCCGTGAGATTTTTATCTGAAATAAACGGAAAATAGGTATTATATTAAAAACATAAACCTTTAGTCGTAACACATGTTTATATATTACATGATGCACTTTTTAAAATACAAAACTGGAAGATTTTTTGCTATTGTATAACGTTAAAATAAAGCAAAAAGGTTTGTACTTGGAGAAAGAAACAATCTTCGAATTGCATATCATTCTTTATAATAAATTTTATAAAAAATAAATACGTATACCGCTCAATTAATTTTTATGTATTTTGTGAAAGAGAAATTCTTTCTTTAGTACGTATATTATTTCTTTAGTGTGTATTTCCTATACTGTAAATGATCAGATATTCGTTCTTCAACTTTGAGATACAGTAAGATACCTCTGACAGATTTGAAAAACAAAACTCGCTCAGAGGGACAGTTAAGTTCTACACTGAGAAAAAATTGCGTCAAAAACTACAAGAATATAGCAAAATTTACCGTGTTTCTAGCTCTATGGGAATACTAAAATATGGGTAACGTTTACCAAAGCGCTTTGACAATAATTTTGGTAAAGTTAACAATACTTTCAGTTTTATGATTATTATATACTGAGTGGTAAAGAGTCTTAGCGGGGCCAACCACCTATTGGAAGAGTTACAAAATTAAGTAAATTCAAATTAAACTGAATAATACTATTTTTCCCTTTAAAGAAATATTAAACGAAAGCAAAGATTTGAAAATAAATAAATTGAAGTATGCAAATTATTACTTCTCAATTTTAATGTATTTTTACACAGTTATAAATTATTGGCGAAATATCCAGAACTAAAATTTTTAAATCCAGAATTTTAGGTAAAGTTACCTACAACGAAGCAAATAACAATTGAATTATATAAATACTGTATATTTTAGTTTCATTAATCAGAAATATGATTTTTTTAAGGCCACAATTTTGCCAGAATTTTATTTTCCTCGTATAAACTTTCAATAACGTAAAAAAAGATTTATAAAACTTAATAAACATTTAAAATCATATTTTTTCAATGTTATGTTTCAAAATAAACGAATGATTTTATGAGCAGACTTTATACATAAATTTCTCTACAAGAAGTGTAAATTGCTTCAGTTTCAAAAATTTCACTGACTTTATTTACTAAATATGAACAGTGCTCGAAAACTTATTTTATTTTTGCCTTCTTGAATAGATAATTGTAAGCTAAACTCTTAAAAATCACCTTTTTGTTGGAAATTCCGGTAATAACAATTCTTTTACTAAGCTCTAAAATCTTTTTTCTGTAAGTAAGTAAAAAATGCATTTCTTTGGGGAGGAAATATTTTTCTCCATTTTTACTACCATCTTAAAGTTTGGGAAGGTGCGAATCGGAGCAGTAAATTATAGTTATATCCTCCCTTGCTGCTTGATCGCATGAATTTCAGAAGTGATTTGGTAGAAAAAATAGATTGATTTTTTTTTTAAGAATCTTCCGAAAACTTTTCTGTCATAAGACCTGGAAAAGGAAAGGAGAAAAAATAATATAATCTTTGGAATAGGGAAAAATATTATTTTTTCTTCTAAAAGTTATTTTCCGTTTTTATTCTTGATCCATTTTAAAACCACAATTTCTCGCTTTTTTCCTTCAAAAATAAAAAAAAAAAGTTATAAAAGATATGGAAAAAACTATCGTGTTTTTGCTCCATTTTTAGTTTTAAATCTGTCATCTTCCAAATTAGAGTGTTGAACGAGCATGTAAATTTTTATCTTTAACAATCATAAGAATTGAGCGATTTTTAAGTAAGAAATATTTTAAAAAATAGAAAAAAAAACATACGAAATATTGAAGTTTTCAATTACAGCCGCATCTTTTATAATTACAAATAATTTTTAAAACTTCATTAAAAAAATATTTGTTATAATCATGTAGAAAAAAGGTAGTATCTCTTGCATCCAGAAATTTAGTTAGAATTATTTACATAATTTTATAATATTATATTATTATTATATTATGGGAGTACAAAAATGCATCAAAATTTTAAGCAAAACTTGGAAAACATAATAGGATAAAAATAAAAACGGTGAAGCATTATACAAAAGAATTTATAAAATATATAACGTCATAACGTTGTATCCCATTTTATTCTTATTTTTTTTAGATGTTTCTCTGATTAATTAATGTATTGACTCGCTGATTCATCGATTCACTTATTTGTTTCGTTTCTTAAACCGTAAGAAACTTTAAAATTAACTAATATTTAAATGACAAAACTGAAGCAATGAAACAAGCGCGTGAAAAAAATATTTTTTTTTTAAATTTAAATTTCAAAGATAATAATAATTAACAAACGGTCGTTATAGTAACGGAAATCATTAATCATTATATTATGTTTGAGGAAGTAATGATTTTCTTTCTTCAGAACATTAAAAATTTCTAAACTTATAAAAAACATATAGAAACGCACGGAGACACAACCGAAAATGAATAAAGTGATACTTAAGCGAAAAAACGAAATTAAAAACTATGCATAGTTTTTAATGTAGATCCAACATGCCAAAAAAATGGAGCATCTCGAATAACATTTGATCTGATAATCGGGTGCTCATGCGCCAGGATTCAATCTTAATCACACGATGAGGGTTAATTTAAATATTCTAATTTATTAGTGGAGTGCTTTCTCCGAATAAATATCTTTTTTTTTCCAGCTGATTGAGATTTCTGACACCCTAAATACAGGAGGTATCAGCAATCTGTAAAATATGGCCCTATAGCTTGTTTAGGAGCGCGATCGCAAGTTTGAACCCCTCAATAGTAATTTTACTTGTGTATTTCAACATATTTCCAGAACAAATTGAAAAAAAATTCACATAATTAAAAAATTCGTTTATTCAGAGATAATTCAATGCTAAAAATAAATTTTCGTGAATATTTAATGTTTTATTTATTAATAATCAAAAAGTTTTGAATTGTAAGGTACGCAATTTTAAACATAATTTTAATGTTTGCAATTTTATATGGCAAAAATTCAAAAATTTAGTAAATTCGGTTGAGTAGTTCCTGAAAAATAGAATTTTATGTTTATGCGTTTTTCAAAACTCAATTTCTGAATAACTATTCGACCTTCGAACCACTGCAATTGAGCAGAGGAACATGAAGATTTGATCACTAGATGAAAAGTTATTCAGGGTGCACTGTTAAAATTTTCCTTATAAAATTACGGTAATATAACTGGCAGCTGTCTGTCCATCCGATTAACCATAAAGTTTACGGAAAATATTTTTTTTCCTTTATGGTATTATAACCATTTACAAAAATATCGTTACAAAACCATAAATACAAAACTATACGGTTTTTTAACCATTTACAACAAGCATCTTTTAAAAATGTAATAATTTTTTAACCAGACATAGAAGCTCGGCTTTTCTAAGTTAATGGTCATTGAAGAGTGTCGGACACTGGGAATTCTTCACGTGCAGAACGGAATGGAGAAAACATTGTAGTGTCAACACTAGGACTCGAACTCCAGTTCTGATGGTCATGAGATTGACGGGTGAACCCACTCGGCTATGATATGTACGCAGTAGCGAAGAACTAAGTAGCTTCATTAGGTGGTTCTAGTTGGTGCGATAAAATTCTGGTTGTTTAACCGTATTAGGTGAAAGCAGTTAATGAACAGTTTTTCTTAAACTTAACAGTTTGATTACCATTTCATTTATGGTTATTTGACTGTGTTGATTAAATATGGTAAAATAGCCATGCAATCAATTGTTATTTAACCATTTCTTCCGAGAAATTTCTAACAGTGTGGTCCGTTATTTATTCAGCAACTTTTTTTTTTGCACTGTACATACAAAATAGGTTGATCATTTATTTCAATGTTATTGCAAGTCATTCACTTGGTAAACTTAAAAATTAAGTCTTGTAAACAAAATTTTATAAAATACTATTTTCAACGATTATGTATGTTGCAAAATATGTTTCTCACATCATATTTCGCATATAGGAATACAATTTGAAAATCTAAATTAATTCGACTCTCTCACAAAAACACCTGAAAAGCTTTAACTAAATTATACATATATATTTTTTTACCTTTTCGTCATTTTTTTCCAGATTAATTACCAAAGAATCATAGAAACAAAAATATTGATATAAGCTGATTTTATCATTTAAAAGTTATAAATTGACATTTTATTTTAATGAAAATAATAGTCTTTACTTAACGATTTCATTACTTTTTTTACTTAAATGTTTTCCCCACGAACCGTAATTAACAGGATTTTTCTCTGAATCGATTCCTCAGATAGGGTATGATTAAATGAATTTTCGGAGAGTTTATTTTCCTTTGATTTTTTTAATCGTATCACAAATTAGTTCATTTCTGTTCCCAAACTGCACTCAATACAAATTTATTTAGAAAGCACTTCAATGAGGTATTTTGGAGTTAAAAAATGAAGCGAGCTCGTTAAATATTTTGCGAAACGAAGCTTTTCAAATATAATTACACACAGATAAAAAAAAGCTTCAGCTTTACAATTTCGAAGCAAAAAAATGCAGTTTAGTTACGATCTTTCAATGAAATTTTAAGTGTAACTAGATTTTCGATGCATCTTTTGAGATGAAGCTCACTTTTTTTTCTAATTTTCTCTTCAGTTTTAGATTTTATATTTACAGTCAAAACATTAACGATCAAACTTAATTATGATCAAACGATAAAATACATCGTTGATGATATTTGAAACAAATT